GCTCTGTCTGACTGGAATCTGAGTGCGTGGCCCGACCCCAGGCTGGGGGTGGGGGGTGGCTAGAAGCCCAAGGGATCTGGATTCTGATCATGGTCTCTGATCCTGGGGTACCATCAAGGAGGGTCGGCCGCCTACCCTAAGGAAAAGTTTCTGTATGTTGTATGTGTTTAACATATCTTATGTTGATAGAGCACATGTTATGTGATACATGAGCAAAATGTCAATAGATGACACCAGATGTATTATGTATTGATGGCTTATGTAAGGTTTATGTCTTAGATTATTGGGGATCAGGCTGTTGTCTTTCTTCTCCTTAATTAAAAGAGCAAGTCAGGCTCGGTGGCTCAACCTGTAATCCCATGCCTTTGGGAGGCTGAGGTGAGTGGATTGCCTGAGCCCGCGGGTTCGAGACCCTCCTGGGCAACTTGGCGAGACCTCATCTCTACAATAAATCAAAAATCAGCTGGGCGTGGTAGCGTGCGCCTGTAATTACAGCTACTTGGAAGGCTGAGGCGGAAGGATCACCAGAGCCCAGTAGGTCGAGGCTGTGGTGGCCAGGAGCGGCCACTGCACTCCAGTCTGGGCGACAGAGTGAGACTCCAACTCAAAAAAAAATTAAAAGAGCAGTGTTCATAATCAAACTAAAAGCAAAAAACGCCAGGTACAGTGCTCATGACTGTAATCCCAACACTTTGAGAGACTGAGGTGAGAGGAGATTAATTGAGGTCAGGATTTTGAGACCAGCCTAGGCAACATAGCAAGACCTCGTCTCTACAAAGAAATAAAACAAAATAATTAGCCAGGCATGGTGGTGCCCACTTGTAGACCCACAACTTGAGAGGTTGAGGTGGAAGGTTCATCTGAGCCCAGGAGGTTGAGGCTGTAGTGAACTATGATCATGCCATTGCACTCCAGCCTGGGAACAGAGTGAGACCCTGATTCAAAAAATTTAAAAAACAAAGAGAGAAAACATTTAAGAAGGGTTTCAAATACAAAATACTTTCCAAGTCACAGCTGCCCTATACAGCTTAGACACCGTGCAGTGTGAGAGATACTAAATTAACAAGTGACCAGATGGCTAACATGACCTCTGTAATGAGACATATCTGTTGGCTGTTTCTGTTCCTGTCTTTCTCTAGCTCTGTGGGATGGCTCTGAGCCTCAGTTTCCCCATTTTTTCAGGTGCATCTGATTCTTTCTTTCTGTAAGGGTGGGTATGACTGTGCCCAGCTGGACTCAGGCTTTTTCCCCCTGGGCCCCAGCTGAACTGCCCCCTCCTGTCTCCGGGTCACCACAGGCTGCATGCAGGGCATGGTGCCCTACCTGCCCGAGCTGATCCCGCACCTTATCCAGTGCCTGTCAGACAAGAAGGCCCTGGTCCGCTCCATCGCCTGCTGGACGCTGAGCCGCTATGCCCACTGGGTGGTCAGCCAGCCACCCGACATGCATCTCAAGCCTCTGATGACAGAACTGCTGAAACGAATCCTGGATGGCAACAAGAGGGTGCAGGAGGCAGCCTGCAGGTGACCCTTGACCCCTGATCCCACAGCCTCCACCCTTCCCCCACTGCACTCCAGGAAGTGATGACACCTATGACTGCTGATGTGGCACTGATTTCTTTTGTATTCGTACTGTCTGATCCTGAGTGCCCCTCTCCCATTGTGTCCCAAGGCTGCCTGCGGTGGTCCACTGAGACTTCTGTCCCATCTTCCTTCCCAACAGTGCCTTCGCCACTCTGGAAGAGGAGGCCTGCACGGAGCTGGTGCCCTACCTCAGCTACATCCTGGACACCCTTGTCTTTGCCTTTGGCAAATACCAGCACAAGAACCTGCTCATCCTCTATGATGCCATCGGCACCCTGGCTGACTCCGTGGGCCACCACCTCAACCAGCCGGTGAGATCCCAAAGTGGCTCCTGCCTCCCTATTCCTGTGCCCCTTGGCATCCAGTGACCTGGCGGCGACCCTGTGTTGCACGCCAGGGACGTGGCCGTGACCTCAACAGGCAGACAGACAGATCCGGCCCCCGCCCTCGCCCTGCTCCCAGTCTAGTGGGGGAGACAGACAGTTATGAGACAGCGTGGTAAGTGCTGTGCTGTGGGGACCAGGAGGTGGTGACCCAGGCCCCCAGGGGAGCGGGGTGGGGAGGGTGGTGCTTGAACTGCTGAGAAAAATGAGAAGACATGGAGTTCTGGCCAGATGGAAGGCTTGCAGGGCCAGCCCAGCCCTCATCTCTCAGGCGACTGACACCTCTGAGTCACAGGCCACCACCCAGGGAGCCCCAACTTCCTACTCCCCTCCAGGAGTACATCCAGAAGCTGATGCCCCCACTGATCCAGAAGTGGAATGAGCTCAAGGATGAGGACAAGGACCTCTTCCCCCTGCTGGAGGTGAGTGGGCTCCAGGCTCTCTCCTGCAGCCCCACTTTTCCCTGCCCCTCCCTGAGTGTCCCTCTCCTGGTCTCCTCCCTGCCAGTGCCTGTCGTCTGTGGCCACCGCCTTGCAGAGTGGCTTCCTACCCTACTGTGAGCCCGTCTATCAGCGTTGTGTCACCCTGGTGCAGAAGACACTGGCGCAGGCCATGGTGAGCACCCCCAGCCCACCCATCTGTACTTCTGCTGCTGCCTGGGCCCTGGCCCATGCCCCTCACCTACCTCCCCGCCCCCATCTGTGTCCAGATGTACACGCAGCATCCGGAACAGTATGAGGCTCCTGACAAGGACTTCATGATCGTGGCGCTGGACCTGCTCAGTGGCCTGGCTGAGGGTCTAGGTGGCCATGTGGAGCAGTTGGTGGCCCGAAGCAACATCATGACGCTGCTCTTCCAGTGCATGCAGGTGGGTAGGGCCCCATGTAGGCCACACCCAGGACGTGGCGAAAAAACAGGCCCTTACCTGGACAATGAGGACACCCAGCAACCTGTGTGGGCCACTCTGGGGAGGGAACTCAAGGTCCTAGTTGTGCCCAGAGGATCTCAGAGGAAAGTGATCCTTTAAAAAAAAAAAAAAGCTGCTAATTGCTTTAAAAAGTGACTGGAATAAGATAGAAATAAAATCTTATTTTAAAAAATAGGTCAAGGCAGGGGGATTGCTTGAAGCCAGGAGTTCGCCTGGGCAACACAGCAAAATCCCCTCACTTAAAAAAAAGTATTGAAAAACTGAAAATAGAAAATGTGAAAGCTCAGGTCCCTATCCCAGCACACTTGGCCCTCTACTGTGGCTGTTGCATCCCAAGATTCAACCAACCTTGGCTCAAATATCTGGAGAAAAACGACACCATTTTATATCAGGGACGTCTGAAGATTATGGTATCTGTGGGGTCCTGAGAAGCAGTCCCCCATGGATACTGAGAAGTGACTGCATGTCAGGATGGGCAGTAGTGATGTCCGCCTCCCTCTGTAGCAATGCCCTGAGCAGAGGACTCTGAGTCACGTGCTGATTTCCTGGGGTGGGGCGCTGCCATCCCCCCTTAACGGACGTGGGCTGGAGGATAGACAGCTTAAGGAACAGCCAGGAGCCTTGGCACTAGGAAGTGGCAGGGTCAGGATATGCAACAGGGACCATGTTCCTCAGCTGCCTTGGTTGCGGGGAGGAGGGCCTGGCCACACTGACTCCTCTTGGGCCTCCAGGACTCGATGCCCGAGGTCCGGCAGAGCTCCTTCGCCCTCCTGGGAGATCTCACCAAAGCCTGCTTCATCCACGTCAAACCCTGTATTGGTACGACACTCACCTTGTCCCTAACCCGTGACCCCAGCTCTGGCCTCAGTGATGAAGAAATGCCCGGGGAGGACTGTGACCCAGCTGGGATGTATTCGTACATCTGATGGGGCCTGCTTGGCTGCATCCTGCAGCTCAACCTGGCCGGCTCTTGTTCAGTACCCTCTTCCTCTTCACTAGCCGAGTTCATGCCCATTCTGGGCACCAACCTGAACCCCGAGTTCATCTCTGTCTGCAACAATGCCACCTGGGCCATCGGGGAGATCTGCATGCATATGGGTGAGTGTCCTGCAAGTGGGCAGGCTGTGTCCATCCCACTGGCCTGTTCCTGACCTGGGGTTGGGAGCCTGGCTCTGACTGACAGGTCCCCTCAGGGAACACATCTGATTGGCGGGGGGCAAGAGAACATGAATTAGTATTTTCCTCAGGGGTGGAGCCAAGTAGCTGACAGGCCATTTGTAATTGGCTTCTCCAAAGGTGGAGGGAGGGACATGGGGGACAGGACAGGACACAAAGACACATAGGAGGGCTGTTCTGATTGGGCCGCTTCATGCAGTTGGCAGAAAGACCCATTGGGATTGGTTGGGTGACTTTGGTTTCTTTGCCTGCGAGAGGCTGGGCAGTGAGGTTGCATCATGGTGTCCGGTGGTGACTCTGGAAAAGGGTCGGAGAGTGTAAGTGTAGATCTGTCTGTTTTTGGTTGATCAGAAATTTGGGTGGGGAATGAGCTGAAGAAGGTCATTTGCTTCCTCACGGGTTGTGGTTGGCCAGTCTCTGGGTGGAGCTGGGGTCAGTGAGTGAGGCCGAGGCAGGACCCCTGACTGGCCCACTGTGCCTGGAGTGGGCTGTGCAGGCCTCTGACTGAGTGCTCTTCCAGGGGCAGAGATGCAGCCCTATGTGCAAATGGTCCTCAACAACCTGGTGGAGATCATTAACCGACCTAACACACCCAAGACTCTGCTGGAAAACACAGGTGGGCACCTGGCCTGCTCGCTCGCCCACCTCCTGGAGGTGGCGTTTTGGGCTGGGAGGGCAGCCGATAAGGACCTTGGGAAGGAACCAGGGAGGGTATCTGGAAGGACCTGGAAAGGAGGCTCTGGAAGGAGCCCTAAAAAGATGTGGGCCTTTGGCAGGGAGACCCTGTCTAGGTCAAGCTCTGGGGCCCAGGTTGGCCACACGAGCCATTCTTTTGGAGCCCATGGGGCGGGGCTTGGTGCCTCTTGCCAGAGGCCCCGCCACGTACCGTCCGCGGGCCACTCGGGGTTGCAGGTCGCCTGACGAGTCCCTCTGCCATTCCAGCCATCACCATCGGCCGCCTGGGCTATGTGTGCCCACAGGAAGTGGCACCCATGCTGCAGCAGTTCATCCGTCCTTGGTGTGTACCTGCCTGTCAGGTCTACCATGTGGTGGGTGGGACAGACCCAACCTCTTTTCTCACCTCTGCTATCCCAGCCCCACCCACTCACTGATCTCCTGTCCCATCCCACCCCATAGATGGCATGTTCCAGATCCACTCATTGACCTCGTATTTTCCCCACCCCTACACAGATGCATGTCCTCCCTGGTCCTGCCTGCTCACTGACGTGTTACCCCTACTGCCACCCATGGGTGCATTTCCTGCCCCAGCCTCACTGATGATCTGCTTCTCTCCTTCCCACAGGTGCACATCCCTCAGGAACATTAGGGACAATGAGGAGAAGGACTCAGCCTTCCGAGGCATCTGCATGATGATTGGTGTCAACCCAGGGGGTGTCGTGCAGGTTAGGGCAGCTGGGCTCTGAGGGAAGGTGTGGGGGCTGGGCTTGGGCGGCCCCTCACCTGGGATCCATCACATTTCAGGACTTTATTTTCTTCTGCGATGCTGTAGCCTCCTGGGTGAGCCCGAAGGATGACCTTCGGGACATGTTTTATAAGGTGAGGCTCCTGCTGGGCCCTGATCTAGTCCAGGGAGGGGACAGGAAGGAGACCCTCTGGCAGGGATAGGGGAATGGAGGGGAGTGCTCCCCTTGCTCTGCCCTGCCCTCTCCTCACCCCCTCCCTTCCCACAGATTCTCCACGGCTTCAAAGACCAAGTGGGGGAGGAGAACTGGCAGCAGTTCTCCGAGCAGTTTCCGCCGCTGCTCAAAGAGAGGCTGGCGGCCTTCTATGGGGTCTAGGCAAACTTGGAGACTGCCAGGTGAGGAGGCCGTGACTGGGGGCCTGGACTGTTTTGGGATCAAGAGGCCCAGGCCCTGACCTTCTGCCTCTTCCTGCAGGTTTCTGTCTGCGTTGTCGTCGGAGGGATTGCTGGGGAGCACGCCGCGTCCAGAAGTCGCTGTGCCCTTGTCGAGGGGGGTTAGGGAGGAGTGAGTGGGACCCAAATCCAGACGCCTTCCCCGTCTGTCCGTCCACCCACCTGCCCTGCAGGGCTTGTCTGGCCGGCAAGCGGTCAGGTGGCTGGGCCCTCCACGCTCATCCTGCAAACGGGGAGGGGGGTGGGACTTCTGGCGGGCAGAGGCCCCTGGGCTCTAATGGGGTCATCTCCGGCAGCCCACTTGGGCCAGCTACGTGGGAGGGAGGAATCCACACGGCCGACCAAATCCGGCTTCGGATGAGGCAAGGGGGAAGCAGGCGGGGAGGGGGGCCCTTGTAGGGACACGTAAACTCACATGGACACACACGTGGCCACACGCATGTGCGGGCGCTGTAGCTGGTGAGGCTGGGCCAGTCGCCCCACCATTTCCCCGACTGCATGGAGACAGTAGAATTAGTGAACCCCTGAGTTAACCCGTAAGGCCTTCCGTGTAACCTGCATCTAGAGTTTAAGAAGCTTCTGCTGTTTTGCCGGAATTGGCGGTGACTGGGGAGGGCTGGGTGGGTAGGGGGCCTTAGCTGGGACCCCAGGGCGGGGGGAGGAGGATGGCTGCCTTGGGGCCGCCCTGTCAGCACGTGCACGCTTGGGACCTGCTCCGCACACTTCCTGCCAGCTTTGTGGCAGCCTCAGCCAGTGTGTCTTTGTCCTTGTCCTAGCTCAGCCAGTAGGGTAGGGACCCTTGGAGTGGCTGGGGTTGGCTGGAAGTCGCCTTTCTCTCCCCTGTGCTCCAGCGGCTTTTGATGTGCCGGGTTGGGACCTTTTTCCTGAAGAGAGCTGGGGACAGCCAGAACTGCTGGCACCCACCCCCTGCATCTCTCTCTGTAGGCAGCTTTGGGGGCAGTCCATTTCTCTGCTTCTGAGAGCCCCCTCATATTTCAGGCCCGAGTTCTAACTTTAAGGCTCAGGCAGGGGCACTGAATTGATGACAGGATGAAGGCTTATGCTCTGCCAGGAAGAAGGAAGCCAAAGGGTTTGGGAGAGGGGAAGGGAGCGTGCCCCCTGTCTCCCACTCCTTCACGTTGGGACTTCCTGTTCATCACAGTGCCCAGTGGGCCCTGAGATCCCACCAGATGGGGGCAGTGATTCTAGGGAATCTTCTGGGATTGGTTGGGGATGTGGTTCAAGGTGGGAGGGGCTCCTCTAGTTAGGGAGAAGCCACAGTTACTTCCCAGTTGGCTAGGAAACTGGGCCCTGCAGCCCCCTTAACATTGTTTTCCTTTTTTTCCTTCCTGCTTTCTAATTCTTTGGGGGCCCCTTATGTCTTGGGGTTTGACTGGAGTTCCACATCCAGGGGCCTGTTCCATGCATTCTTCTTGGGCCCTGGTTCCCATCCCTTTCCTAGCCCTGTGTCTTCTCACAGTCAGGGTCTGGCCCTGCCTCTATTTCCAAGGGGCACTCAGTGCACATTCCATAACTCAGCTGAGTTTCCCCCACTGTGAAACTCGAGCAGGTCTCTAGAAGCCATTTGTAAAAAGAAAAAAAAATTTTTTAAACCTTTTTATTTTCTGGTAATTCCAGTTATTTGAAGCATCCTCTGCAGGGTCTTGGGGTGTGTGGATGGACTGGCTGTCTTGATGGGATTGGTAACCCCTCTCCACCCAAGATGGGGTGCTCCAAACACCTTCAGGGAGGGGGAGCCTGGTTTTTCTTTTTTTTTTTCCTTTTTTTTTTTAAAGAAAGCTATTTAATTTTTTATTTATTTTTGGTTGGTTTTTGCACAACGAAGTTTCAGCTTCTCAACCTTCTCCCCTGCCGAGGGCTGCGGACGCAGACTGGCTTTGATCCGCAGTCCTCTCCACGTTTCTGAGTCCCTCCTTCATTCCTTATCCTCTTCTGCGGGCTCCCGGGTCTGTCCATTTGTTAACGTGCCGTGCTGGGGATTGGCGCCAAGGTGGCGTGAGATTCCACTTGTGTAGAACTTTGTTGAGTAAAGATCAGTTTCTTGTGACCCCCTTGGTCTCTGGCTTCCTGTGTCCTTGGCTTGATGGTAGAGATGTGGAGGGGTGCCTGGGATGCTTTAGCAACGGGGACGCACACAACTTGAGTCAGGAAATAATGGAGTGAAGAAGCAAGCATTAATATGGGACCCTGGCCTCAGTTTTCTTTCCTGTAAAATGGGAAGATGAATGTGAAAGGTGGAAGCTTAAATGTGTGACGCGCAATGCGTTCTCTCTAACAGCTCACTCAAGGGATGCCATTAGTGTCACAACCCAGATTCAAGATGCCCCTCTGCCATTCCCTGAACATACAACAAATAATGCCTACAGTAGAGAGAATAGACTATATATACATAGTGGTACAAGGCCGGGTATGGTGGCTCATGCCTGTAATCCCAGCACTTTGGGAGGCTGAGGCAGGAGGATCACTTAAGCTCAGGAGTTCAAGGCCAGCCTAGACAAAAATACAAAAATTAGCTGGGTGGTAGCATGTGCCTGTAGTCTCCCAGCTACTTAGGAGGCTGAAGCAGAAGGATTGCCTGAGCCCAGGAGGTCAAGGCTGTGTTGAACAATGATCATGCCACTGCACTTCAGCCTGGGCGACAGGGATTTCAACTCAATAAATAAGAGGTAGTGGAAAATGCAGCAGAGAGACTGAGAGAGAACGTTCGGAGAAATGGCCAAAATCCTGTGCAGGGTGCCCTGGGAAAACTTCACTGAGGAGATGGTGCTTGAACAAAGAGCCCTGTGAAGTGTCAAGCAGAGGAAACTGCTAAGTGCTGCTCAGATTTATGTGGATCGGTTATGTGACTCAAAAGAAGCTTTCAGTAAATAAGGTGCTGTTTTTACCAGGACGACTTAACAGCAACTCTTCCTGAGCGTGGAGGCTCATGCCTGTCATACCAGCACTTTGGGAGGCAGAGGCAAGAGGATTGTCTGAGCTCAGGGATTTGAGACCATACTGAGCAACATGGTAAGACCTCATCTACAATAAACCAAAAACTTAGCTAGGCATGGTGGCACATGCCTGTGATTCCAGCTACTTTGAAGACTGAGGTGGAAGGATCACCTGAGCCCATTAGACTGTGAGCTTGCCACTGCACTCCAGCATGGGCGACAGAGTGAGGCTCCAACTCAAAAACAAAAAACCCCAGCAACTCACTGAGGCCATTGTGGTATAACTGCGTGTTTCTGGCACTGGAAGAAGAGACAGAAGAGACAGTGAAGTGTCACCTGTAACAGGTGCCTTCAACAGCTGCGTTTATTATTATTATTTTTTGAGTTGTAGTCTCACTCTATCACCCAGACTGGAGTGCAGTGGCTGCTCCCGGCCACTGCAGCCTCGACCTGCTGGGCTCCGGTAATCCTTCCACCTCAGCCTTCCGAGTAGCCGGAACATGCGCTACCACGCCCGGCTGATTTTAATGTAGAGATGAGGTCTCGCCAAGTTGCCCAGGCGGGTCTCGAACCCGCGGGCTCAGGCAATCCACTCACTTCAGCCTCCCAAATACGCGGGATTACAGGCTGAGCCACCGAGCCCAGCTAGAGCTGCATTTATTAAAAGACTAGTCTCACTGTGGTCTCCCAGGCTGGAGTGCAGCGGAGCGAACGTAGCTCATTGCAGCCTCCAACTCTGGGTTCAAGTAGTCCTCCCGCCTCAGCCTCCTGAGGAGCAGGGACCGCAGGCGGGTGCCACTTCGCCTGGCTTGAGCTATGTTGTTAAACTAGAGTGGCTGGCCCTCGGCTTCAGCACCACCAGAGACACTATTTTAAAAACGCAGGAAGCCGGACGCCGTGGCTCATGCCTGTAATCCCAGCACTCTGATAGGCGGAGGTGAGAGGACTGCTTGAGTCCAGGGGTTGGAGACCAGCCTGGGCAACTTGGCGAGACCTCGTCTCGATAATATATCAAAAAATTAGCCGGGCGTGGTGGCGTACGCCTATAGTTCCAGCTACTTGGAAGGCTGAGGCAGAAGGATCGCTTGAGCCCAGCAGGTCGAGGCTGTGGTAGCCGTGGGAGGGACACTGTACTCCAGCCTGGGCGACAGAGTGAGACTCTGACTGAAAAAAATACATGAAAACCGCAGGAACCAGGAACCCGCATTTTCCACTCTAAGGTCCACCAGGTTGCGTACCACTCCACCCTTCCCTCGAGCCGCTCCCTTCCGGTCGGCGCCGCAACGTCATCGGTCAGCGCCGGAAGTACCCTCGCGCTGCCTAGGAGACAGGACGCGGGGCCGGCAGCTGACAGGGCCGGGCCGGCCGCGCCCACCCGCTCGCCATGGAGCTTCCCACAGGACTGTGCGACGATCCCCGCACCTGGGACGATGAATCGGACGCGGAACCAGAGCCCGACCCCGACGCGCAGGCCGAGGCCTACGTGGCCCGCGTGCTGAGTCCTCCAAAACCCGGACTGGCGCCCCCGCGCGCCTCGCCGCTGCCCACACCCGCCACGTCCCCGAGCGCCCTGGAGCCGCGGGCCGCGTCCAGGGTCCTGGCTGTGGGTGTGCCGGGCCTGCTGAGTCTCCCCCCAGAGCTGCTGCTCGAGATCTGCGCTTACCTGGACGCGCGCCTCGTGCTCCACGTCCTGCCGCGCGTGTGCCACGCGCTGCGCGACCTTGTGCGTGACCATGTCACCTGGAGGCTACGCGCTCAACGCCGCGTACGCGCGCCCTACCCGGTGGTGGAAGGTGCGCGCATCCAGGGGCCGGGGATGCCCGCCCAGGTCAGACTTAGGGCGGGGAAGACGTACCTGGGATACTTAGGGCACAGCCTCTGGAGGAGGCTGTCCTGGCTGTGGCTGGAGGCTGAGGTCGTTACTGATCATGCCAAGGCCCCTGAGGACCTCTGGGTGGACCATGAGGCAGAGGTGTGGAGTTCTGAGGCTGTGAAAATCTTCCCTGAGGACTGGGGTCCTTGAACTTAGGATTCAAATAACCTCAGGCTTGGGGTCTTTGTACCGAGCCCCTGACCCCTGACTGGTGTTCACACCAGGACTTGAAGTCTCAGGCTGTGGAATCTCTGCTGGGGCTCAGAGTAAGCCCAAGAATCCTCAGACTGTGGGTCTAGTCTAGAGGCTGAGGCTGCAACCTGGTGTTGCCAAAGCCCTTGACCCGGTTGGGGAGAGGTTGGGGCTCAGGGTCCAGAGCCTGGAACGCTTGAACCAGATTAGGGTTTTAGGAGTTGGGATTCCCGACACCAGCAACCACAGATCCTGAAGACCTGGGGTCTAGCCTGGCATCTTATTCAGGGCTTTGTGGTCACTCCTCCTGCCCCTGAATTCATTGGTCCCTGAGGTAGAATTGATACTTTTGATCCTGAGATGTTGTTGATCTGGATATAGTTGGATCCTCAGACCCTTGAGGCAACGTGAGTAACAAGTTGGGTGGTTAGTTACCCTAACCTGGAAGCTCTGATTCTTCAGAGAGGGTGGGGCTTCTGGACCAGTAATCCTCAAAGCATTGTCTCCAACCCCCTGGGTCAGACTCTCCCAAACAACTTGATAAACATAGATGCTTGTGCCCCATTTGTACCACTGGATCTCTGCACCTGGGACTTGGATTCTACATCTTGACAAGGCTCCTGGATTTACAGAAACTAGTCTGAGAAATACTCCACTTGGTCTGGTTAAGATGACTCAGTCAAGATGGGTTGGTGATGAGGCCCCAGCTCCTATGCCCAGCCTGATTGAGGGGCTGAGGTCAGACCTCAGCCAGAGGTGAGGGAGGACTTCAGTGTCCTGAGGCTGCTGTCCCGTAGGTATGAGATTGGGGGATGAGGCCTGGAAAGGTGGTCCTGGGGTCCTAGTTACCAGTTTCTGGAAATTGGAGTCAAGAGTAGTCTTAGGGCCGGGCTCGGTGACTCAGCCTGTAATCCCAGCACTTTGGGAGGCTGAGGCAAGTGGATTGCCTGAGCCTGTGGGTTCAAGACCAGCTTGGGCAACTTGGCGAGATCTCGTCTCTACAATAAATTTTAAAAATTCGCCGGGCGTGGTAGCATGCACCCATAGTTCCAGCTACTTGGAAGGCTGAGGCAGAAGGATAGCCGGAGCCCAGCAGGTTGATGCTGGGGTGGCCATGAGCGTGCCATTGCACTCCAGCCTGGGCAATGGAGTGAGACTCCAACTCAAAACAAACAACAAAAATGAGTAGTCTTACACCTGCCTGAGGGATGGGCGGGCGGGTGATCCCAAGGGTAGAGCCTAGGCCTGCTTGGGGTGGGGTGAGGGGTTCAGATGCCCAAATCTGGTATAGAGCAGGCTTCCAGGAAGCCAGGATTGGGCTTGGCCAGGTGGTGTGGGTGCCAGGGTCCCTGCCCCCCGGGGACCCTACTCATGGTATCCCACAGAGGAAGACTTTGACTGGCCGGCAGCCTGCATTGAGCTGGAGCAGCATCTGGCCCGCTGGGCAGAGGATGGACGCTGGACCGAGTACTTCTGTCTGGCTGATGGGCACTTTGCTTCCATTGACTCAGTGCTGCTGCTCCAGGTGAGACAGGGTCTGTGGGGGCCCCAGGCTGGGGCGGGCCAGGATGGCCCCCACAACGTTACCTTGTTCCCTTTCCAGGGTGGGACACTGTGTCTCTCGGGCTCCCGAGATCGCAATGTCAACCTGTGGGACCTGCGGCAGCTGGGGACAGAGCCCAGCCAGGTTCTGGTCAAAGCCCTGGGCACCCAGCCGAACAGCACCCACAAGGTGAAGGGTCAGGCGGGGCAAGAGGTGTGGGGCCTGGGGAGGATGCTGTGACTAAGGGCCTAGGTTTTGGTGCCAGACCTCAGGTTTAAATCCTGCTCTACTATTGTTGGTGTGACTTTGGGCGAGATGTGTAGCTTCTCTGTGCCTCAGTTTCTCCTTCTCTCCAGTGGGCAGTTAGGATGAGAATGCATGAGATGAATCATGCATTAGTGTGGAGATGCATTAAGCTCAGGCTTTGATACACAGTGGGTGCCCAATAGATGTCAGGTTGATGTCAGCATAGGGCAGTTATGAGGCCACCCATGGGGATCAGCCAGCTCTGTGCATGACTCATCTTGTGAGAAACGGCTGCAGAGGAACACTCTCACCGTTGTTAAAGTGGTCCAGGCCAGTGGCTGAGAGCTTGGGCTTGGAGCCAGGCTGCTGATTCAAATCCCCAGCTACTTCCTGGCTGTGTGATCTTGGGTGAGAAACTCAACTTCTCTGGGCCCCAGTTTCCTCATTTGTAAAATGGGATACTGTCACAGTATCTTCCTCAGAGCAGTTGGTGAGGAACAAGCCAGTCAGCATCCAGCACTGTGTGTATTAACTGCTGAGATGAAGGCTATTTCGTGCCCATTTTGTTGATGAATAAACTGAGGGGATGTGATTTTCCCAGGTCATGAAATGGAGGTCACACTCTGAATCACATTGTCATGTGGCCTCAGACTTGACTTTGAAATGTTATTGGGTGGGGTGTCCACGTCCCAGGCTGTGAAGTCACACTGACCCACAGACCCGAGCTCTAATCTCTGGGTGCTGGTGTCATCTGTCTCCCTCCCTCTTCTGATCCTTGATCTTGTTATCTGTGAAATGGATATGATCATGTGTGACTGGAGTTGTGTGTTGTACTGCAGTTTTGTCACAGTGGGTGTTAGGGAGGAAAGGTTGTGTGGCTTTGGATGAGTCTCTTGACCTCTCTGAACCTCATCTGCAAAAGCAGGAAGGTTCCAGCTTTGCTCCCATGGGCTGTGGTGGGGAGCCATAGGTGACTGCCATGCCTGGTACCTGCAGGGCTGGGTGTGGTCACTGGCAGCACAGGACCACCGCGTGTGCTCTGGCTCCTGGGACAGCACGGTGAAGCTCTGGGACATGGCGGCCGATGGACAGCAGTTCGGCGAGATAAAGTATGAGGGGGTCTGGGCAGGGGCCTGGGGGGCAGGGCCCTGCTGGCGGCAGCCTAAGCCCTGTGGTCTGTGTGTCCCCAGGGGCAAGGCAGCCGTGCTGTGCCTCTCCTACCAGCCTGACATCCTGGTGACTGGCACCTATGACAAGAAGGTGACTGTCTACGACCCCAGAGGTGGGCCAGGGGTCCTGGGGAACAGGGCTTCCTGGGGTTGCCAGAGTCATGCTAGCGAAGGAGACACCCGGGCCTCACAGTCTGACTGGGGGGTAGTCATGTAGCCTGGTGCTGGCCACTCAGAGTGGCCCGTGCTGTGCTGAGATCACACAGGTGCAGAGTGGCCTGTGCTGTGCTGAGACCACAAGGGTGCAGAGGAAGTTGGGGCAGCCCCCAGGGTTGGGTTAGAATCCCGACTTTTCCACCTTCTAGCTGTGTGACCCCAGGCAAGCTAGAACCCAGCGGTGAAATCTGGGTAATATTAGCACCACCAGCTCTAGAGGAGATAATAAGAAGAATATCGGTGCATTAAATAAGTTAGTTTATACCAGGCATTGTGGCATGTGTCTGTAGTCCTAGCTACTCAGGAGAATCGCAGGAGGCAGGAGGATTGTTTAAGCCCAGAAGTGCAAATGCAGCCTGGGCAACATAGTGAGACACATCTCTAAAAAATAAGTTAACTAAAAAATATATAAAAAGTAAGTTTACGTAAACGCCTAGGAGGAACACTGCCTGACATAACTCTTTTCTGTTGTTTATTTATTCGTTCTTACTTTGTAAAATTGAAGGGCCAGTGTGCCTTGTCCAGGCAGAACTGGGGCTGTAGGATGGGGAGAGGCATCGCAGGCTGACCTGCGGGTGGATGTGAAACTGAGGCTGCCCTGTGCTGAGAAGGGTAGATGGGGTTGGAGGAAGCAGATGGGACAGGAGACGAGGAGGAGCAGAAGTCTGGGGGTCCTGGGAAGGCCTGGATGTGAGATGGGACAGGAGAGAAAGGTCACCTGTGATCAGGGGGACTAAGTGGAGGGAAGGTGTTACCAGGGAGGATGGAGGCCCAGTTTGGGGGCCTCCGAGGGGTCTGATATCTCCCTTCTTCCTGGCCCATCACCTGTGAAGCTGGCCCTGCCCTGCTGAAGAGCCGGCGGCTGCATTCCAGTGCTGTGCTGGCACTGCTGGCGGACGACCGGCACATCATCTCAGGCAGTGAGGACCACACCCTGGTGGTGTTCGACCGCCGAGCCAACAGCGTCCTGCAGCGGCTGCAGGTGGACCCTCCCCACGGGCCTGGAGGGGCTGGGGCTGCAGCTGGCCCAGCCCAGCCTCAGCTGCCCCGTCTCTTGTCCCTCCTATAGCTGGACTCCTACTTGCTCTGCATGTCCTACCAGGCGCCCCAGCTCTGGGCGGGTGACAACCAGGGCCTGCTGCACGTCTTCGCCAACCGTGACGGCTGCTTCCAGCTTGTCCGGGTCTGCTGGGGCCCTTGCCCCTGCCTTTCCCACCCACTGGGCCTCCTTCCTACCTCCTGAGCCCCTGGTGGTGTGGGAGGGCTGGCCTGGCCTTGGAAGGCCCCGGCCTGACTGTCATCCGTCCCTACCTCCCACAGTCCTTCGATGTGGGCCACAGATCTCAGATCACAGGGATCAAACACTCGCTGGGGGCCTTGTACACCACGTCCACCGACAAGACCATCCGGGTGAGGCTCCTGCCCAGCTACGACCCCCAGCCCCACCAGCTGGGACACACCTCTTGACCTTTGTCTTTTGCCCCTCACTAGGTGCATGTGCCCACAGACCCACCACGGACCATCTGCACCCGAAGCCACCACAACGTGCTGAATGGGGTAAGGTCCCGCCCCACGTACCCTGCCTGGTGGCCCAGAGCAATGCCCTTCCTGACTCCTCATGTCTCTGCCCCCTCTCAGATCTGTGCTGAGGGCAACCTGGTGGTGGCTGCCTCAGGGGGCCTGTCACTGGAGGTCTGGAGGCTGCAGGCCTGAGCACATGGATGTGGATGTGGATTGGACACTGCCGGCCAGAGGCTGGGCCTCGGCCTCTGTCCCTGGGGACCTTCCCCATGTTGGTGCTGCCTCTGCTCCTGCCCCGCAGGCCCAGGGCACAAGGAGTCCTGGCCATGGTTGGGCGGGCACCCTAGGCAGAGCCCCATACCTGAGGAGGTGAAGTTGAGTTCTGGCCCACCCAGGTGGCTGCTCCCCACCCTCAGGCCCTGGTTTTGTTGTGATCTGGACGCCCCGCTCTCTGTTGAGAGTAAAGGCGAAATAAAGCTGCGTGTTGGTGCTTGGGCCTGGAGTGTGGGTGCGGTGTGGCCGCGGGTTTGGGCCTACGCCTGCTTGGGGCTGAGGAGACTGTGGGTAGGTGTGGGGGAGAGTGGGAGAGATGGCATAGCTGGGCCGGGAACATGTGGCAGCCGCTGCTGTGCATTGTTTGAAGGACAGTCCTGGGGACCGTGGACACCTGTGGCTGTGATGTCACCCCTGTGTGTGTATGATGTGTGATACATGTGGGTATGTAGATTATGAATGAAACTGTGGATGTGTGCCCACACAGTGGGAGTGGGCATCTGTTCAGGGGGGCAGGGAGGACATGTGTGCTCTCTGTCCAGGGCTCCAGGGTGTGCACGTGCCACTGTGTACACATGACCCTGGGGGAGGTTGGGGAGGGAGGCTGGGCCAGGTGTGTACCTGGCCCCTGCAAGTCCCCAGTTCCTCTCTCAACCCAGCCCAACCATCCCCGAGGAACATTCATATTTATTGAGGCCCCCTGGCTTGCCGGGGCCACAGGGTGGCATTGTTGTGGGCTCAGAGGATGGTACAGGGCTTCTTCTCCTTGAAGGGGTTGGTGGCGGCTGGGATGCCCACGAGGAAGGGGTCGCTCTTGGCCTGCTCCGTGCAGAGCTGCAACAGGTCAGCAGCTGCCTTGGACACCTGCAGGCCAACCCGGTCAGCCAGACCCAGGCATGCACCTGTCCCCCGCTCCGTGGGCCCAGCCCTCCCTGTCTCGTGTCTGCCTCGACCCTCACCTTCACAGGTCGATGCCTGCCTCCATCCGCAGCTGCTCCACTGTCCGGCGGGCCTGCCCGATGTCGCTGCCGATGGCCACCTTGCTGGACATCTGGGGGGAAGTGGCAAGGCTGTGGGCAGCAGGCCCAACTCCAGTCCTCTAGGGGAAGCTAGGGCTGCCCCAGGGTCCCTGCACCTCCTCCGGGGTCCCCTGGGGACTGCAGAATGGGGGTGGCTGCCCCCAGACCCGTCAGGCCCACATACCTCAGCTGAGGACTCCAGCGGAAGCCGTCTGACTGCCTGGTCCTCCAGTGGCTGCCCCACTCTGGCTCCCTCCCCTACACTGGCCTGGCCTCTCCAACCCCCTCTTCTCCCTCCCCCACCCCTGCAGACACTTTGAAGCCAGGATGCTCATGGAGTGAAATGTCACCAGTAGCGGCAGCAGTAGCTGCCTTGGCCAAGGGGGTCCCTGCCCCAGGAGGCCCGGTGGCTGCCCTGGTGTCACGTGTCACCTAGGTCTCTGTGGGTGAGGCAGCTGGGCTGGGGAAACGAGGGAGCCCTGGCCTCCTCCGACCTACTGGACCCCTTACACGCCTCCTTTGCCAGCCTCTGCCACCCCTGACATGCAGAGTTGCTCATGCTCGGGCGCAGCCCCTCCTCTCCCTGTCTATACTCGATGCCTGGGGTCTCATCTACAGGTAACTCAATCCACTCACTGATGCTGATACCTCTTCTGCCCCCATCCCCACCCACCTCTTCCCTGAGCTCCAGACTGGAGGACTCTCCTCCCCGCTCAGTCCCTCACACCAAGGAGGCATCTCTCACCTAATTTGGCCAAGCAGGACTCTGGCCTGTGTTCCCCCAGACCTTCTGCCCTGAGGGAACATAGTCCAGATAGTCCCACATCCAATCCTGTCTCAGGTGCCATCAGATCAGGATCTGTCGGGTCACTTCTCTCACCATTCACACCATCTGGTCCTGCCCCCATCTTTGCCCATGTGGAAGAGGGCAGACACCTTCCTATACCCTAGTCTCCAACTTTCCCCCTACCTGCTCTCTCACCCATGCTGTTCTCAAGGTAGCTGGTGGGATCCTTTAAAAAAACAAACAAACAAAAAAACCCTCTCTCAATTCCTTTTTATTTTTATTTTTTTTTGAGTTGGAGTCTCATTCTGTCGCCCAGACTGGAGTGCAATGGCCGCTCCCAGCCACCGCAGCCTCGACCTGCTGGGCTCCGGCGATCCTTCCGCCTCAGCCTTCTGAGTAGCCGGAATTACAGGCATGCACTACCACGCCTGGCTGGTTTTTTGATTTATTGTAGAGATGAGGTCTCGCTGCCCAGGCGGGGAACCCGCAGGCTCAGGCAATCCACTCACCTCAGCCTCCCAAAGGCGCGGTATTACAGGCTGAGCCACCAAGCCCGGCTTCTCAATCCCTTTTTAAAAACCTCACCAGCTCCTTAGAATGATAACCCCCACCTCCTCACCACAGCCCACAGAATGCTGCCTGCTCTGGCCTCTGAATTTCTTTTTCTCTTTTTGAGTCAGAGTCTCACTCTGTTGCCCAGGCTGGAGTGCAGTGGCACGCTCATGGCTACCACAGCCTCGACCTGGGCTCAGGTGATCCTTCCACCTTAGCTTTCCAAGTAGCTGGAACCACAGGTGAGCACCACCACACCCACCTAAATTTTTTGATTTATTGTAGGGACAAGGTCTTGCTAAGTTACCCAGACTGGTCTCAAACCCCTGGGCTCAGGCAATCCTCTTGCCTCCACCTCCCAAATCCCACATCTGGGATTACAGGTGTGAGCTGAATTTCTTATCAACTTCTCCTTCTCTTATTCCTCAGGGATCACCTTGACACTCCTGTGTTCATTCATTCATTCATTCATTCAGCATTGTATGAGTCAGCCCTGATTGCCATAACAAAATACCATAGACTTGGTGGCTTAGATACCAGAAATTAATTTTCTCATAGTTCTGAAAGCTGGAAATCCAAGATCAAGGGGTTTGGTTTCTTCTGAGGCGTCTCTTACTGACTTGCAGGTGGCCACCTTCCTGCTGTGTCCTCACATGGCATTTCTTTTTTTTTCTTTTTTTTTTGAGTCTGGTCTCACTCTGTCACCCAGGCTGGGCTCCGGCGATCCTTCCACCTGTCTTCCAAGTAGCTGGAAGTAAGGCACACACCACCATGCCCGGCTGATCTCGAACCCCTAGACTCAGGCAATCCTCTCACCTCAGCCTCCCAAAGTGCTGGGATCACAGGTGTGAGCCACCACACCCAGCCTGCCTTTCCTCTTTTTATAAAAAGTCAGATTGGACTAGGATCCACCCTAATGACCTTGCTTTAACTTTATACTTCTTTTTTTTTTTTTGGAGTTGGGGTCCCACTGTTGCCCAGGTTGGAGTGTAGAGCCCCCACCTCCTGGGCTCAGGCAGTCCTTCTGCCTCAGCCTCCTGAATAGCAGGGACTGCAGGTATACGTCACCACACCTGGCTAATTTCTTTTGTTTTTGTAGAGATGAGGTCTCTCTATGTTGCCCAGACTGGTGCTGAACTCCTGGGCACAAGTAATCCTCCATCCTTGGCCTCCCAAAGTGCTGGGATCACACATGTGAGCCACTGAGTCCAGCCTAACTTTAGACTTCTTTACAGACCCTGTCTCCAAACACAGTCACAGTCTGAGGCCCTGGGAATTAGGATTACCATATAAATTTTAGGGAGATGCCATTTAGCTTATAACAGGCATATCTGCTGAGATGCTAATATGTGCCCAGCACTGTGCAAAAAGCAAGAACAACAGTAAACCAGAAAAAACCCTGTCCTCATGGAGCTGCTATTCTATCAGGGAGGGATGGACAACAGAACATGTATTCAGTGAAAGACATACACTTGAAGGACAGCATGAAAGAAGAATAAAATCGAGGAAAAGGTCGGGTGCAGTGGCTCACGCCTATAATCCCAGCACTTTGGGAGGCTGAGGTGAGAGGAATGCCTGAGCCCATGGGTTCGAGACCAGTCTGGGCAACATGGCGAGACTTCGTCTCTACAAGAAGTCAAAAAAATTGGAAGGCTGAGGCGAAAGGATCGCCTGAGCACAGCAGGTCGAGGCTGTGGTGGCCGTGAGCACGCCACTGCACCCCAGCCTGGGCGACAGAGTGAGACTCCGACTCAAAAAAACCCAGAAACAACAACAACAACAAAAAGTCATCCTCTCATCCCGAGAGGACAGAAACGAATGGGCAAGAGCCGCGTAATGCGATGGGTCTCCAGCAGGTGGCATTAAAATACGAATCTTCGTGTGAAGTTGAGCACACACGAAAAAGAGTAACGGCTCCTCGCAGTTTCCGTATTACGGAACAAAAACACAAAGATGGCCGCGCACACAGCCATAGGCAGCCAAAGAAGGTCATGTGACCAAATAACATCCGGTCTTTCTCCCCGGCTTTTTCTCGCGCCCCACTTCCTGTGCTCTTGCAGAGACGCGCGTTGTCGGGGCTTAACGCGTTTCAAGGGTATTGGAGGCCCAGCCTCAGGCAGTTCTGACTTGAGAGCCGGCCTCAGGCGCATGGAGGGCTCCCCGGAGAGGGAAGCGCCCGCAGCGGCGCTGGCTGCCGTGCTGAAGCACAGCTCGGCGTTGCCGCCTGAGAGCGCCCAGGTGCGAGGCTACGACTTCAACCGCGGCGTGGATTACCGCGCACTGCTGGAGGCCTTCGGCACCACCGGGTTCCAGGCAACCAACTTCGGGCGCGCGGTGCAGCAAGTCAACGCCATGGTGACGCCTGGGGCGGGGCTTCTTGACTGGGGAGGGGCGTGGCCTTCAGTGGGCCAATGCAGTGCAGTACTTGGAAGGGCGGGACTTCCGTGTGACGAAGAGGCACGGCCTTCGCTTGGGCGGCCCAATAGTTGGAGAGGGGCGGGGCCTCCCAGGGGCGGGAGTTTCTGTGGCGGGAGGGAGGACCTTAGTTGCCGGGGTTAAGTTATCCTAGTAACAGCAGGAGAGCCAACTCGGTGGCTCAGCCTGTAAACCCGCGCCTTTGGGAGGCTGAGATGAGTGGATTGCCTGAGCCTGCGGGTTCGAGACCCGCCTGGTCAGCGAGACCTCATCTCT